TGCTTGACCGACTGTATGTCTGTCCCTGCTGCTTCAAATATTCGAAGGAGATGATGCCCTGGTGGAAACATGTGCAATATTGCGAGAAGAAGGCTTTTGTTCCTGGAACCAAAATCTATACACACCCGCGGCACTCAAGAACCGCGCGCAGCCTGCATGCCAGTACAACGTCAGCCAGCCCCACGGGCGCTACGAAAGGCAAAGGGAAGAGTCGGTCCGACAATAGCGACGAGTCGACTAACGTCGCCATGGTCAACGAAGGGGAATGGAGCGTCTGGGAAGTAGACGGCGAGAAAGACGGGGTAAGTTAATGTTCTTCTCCCGTAATCGTCACCGCGAAGGCTAACTACCCACCAGTTGTTCTGCCAGAACCTCTCCCTATTCGCGAAGCTCTTCCTAGATAACAAATCGGTGTTCTTCGACGTCTCGGGTTTCAACTACTTCCTTCTGGTATATACACCTCCGCTCTCTGAAGCGCACCCGACGTCTCCTACGCGGGCTGATCCGGCTCCCGAGCCTCCCACCGAATCCGAAAACCTTGCATCGATCGCGTCGAACCCACAGGCCTCCACCTCAACTTCCCTATCACACTACTCTAGACCGCAAATCGTCGGCTTCTTCTCAAAAGAGAAAATGTCATGGGACAATAACAACCTAGCGTGTATTCTAGTCTTCCCACCTTGGCAACGCAAGGGTCTTGGCGCCTTGCTCATGGGCGTCTCTTACGAGATCTCGCGACGCGAGGGCATCCTGGGTGGCCCTGAAAAGCCCATCTCAGAACTAGGACGCAAGGGCTACAAGCGGTTCTGGGCTGGTGAGATCAGTCGTTGGATTCTTGGGTTGGATCTACCGGAAACAGCCACCGATTCTGCTCACACCGCCAGGTCCACGAGAAGAGAAAAGGAAAAGGAAAAGGACCGGGCGAAAGATAAGGCCAAGCCGCAAGAGGGATTCGTTGTCGATGTGGAGCAGTGCTCGCGAGATACCTGGATCGTCCCTGAGGACTGTCTCGTCGTACTCCGGGAAATGGGAGTCGTCGAAGAGGCGGGTCTTGGGCCCCCAAGAACCGAGCTAGATGCCGATGGGGACGGGGCTGGGGATGCGAACACGCCACATGGAAAGGAGAAGGAAGACAAAGAGTCGAAACCGCTGCTTGTTCCTAGAGTCAGGATTGACAAGGCGGCTGTCCGTGAGTGGACGCGCGCAAATGGTATTGACCTCACCAGGGCTTGTGATCCCGACGGGTTTGTGGAGGGATACGCTATTAAACAAGTTGAAGACAATGACGACGAGGAGTGAAATGACAAACTCAAGAAGCCTTTTTCACCCTCGAAAGGGCAAAGGTCTTGATATGATTTTAGTTCTGGTATGTAGTTAGGCAGGAAAGCGAGGCGTCTGGGGGTTAAGGTATCATTGGAAAGCAGCATTAAATATTACTAGGCCAAGAATCACGAGCCGCCCGGTTCAGAGTCGATCCAAACATGAGATACAATTCAGATATTACTGACATACTTGTATTTCCTCTCTCCTGTATCGTGGTGGGATACACGTTTCCAATTGCTCTGTAAGCTTTTCAAGGTATATGTACCTATACATCTCCATCGTCTGGTGTTTTCAGCGCTCAGACACCCGCCAAGGAAGGCCGAAGAAAGTAGGAAGAGAGAGAGCGGCGCCAAGCGCGAACTCCACAATGCGAGCAATATAGATCTGTACGCACGCAGGTAGAACAGGTGCCGTGTTCATGAACGAGCGGGGAGGAGGGGGACAGGAGGTCCCCGCATTGCGCCCGTCCGTTCTCCATGCAACCATGTAGATATCGCATTGCATCGTGGATAAGGCAAATAGAAGTTTCCGGGTCAGCTTTGCCTGCGTGTTTTTTGGGGTCGTCTTGTTATATGCCGATGTTTCTTGATACGAGATGTTGCTGGGTAGCTGGATAGACTGGGAGCAAATTGTCCCCATCATGTATTTATACTCGCAATGTCACTGACTACTACGTTATATTCCTACATGTTGAGTGAGTTGTGGCATACGTAATTATAGCTTCATTCGATATCTCCTGACAAAGATTCTGTTTGATTGCCGTGTATCGTGTTTTCATCCCGATTAGAAAGTTTCAGTATCCGCTAATATGGCAACCCCAAGAATCCGCAGCGTGATCGTCACAGGCGGCGCGAGCGGCCTGGGGAAGATCATGAGCGGCTACTTTGCCGCTCGAGGGGACATCGTCACCATCCTTGACATCGACGAGACCAATGGCCCGGCTGTCGCGGCCGAACTGGAGACCCCAGATGGAAGTGGAAGTGAGGCGGTGCGGTTTCGGAAATGCGACATCTCGTCCTGGGAGGAGCAGGCGGCTGCCTTCAGGACTGTGTATGAGGATGTTGGATACGTCGACGTCGTGGTCGCGAACGCGGGTATCTCTGAGGGTGGAAGAAGTTGGGTCGTGCCTCCTTTTCCGTCCGCGACGGGGTCGGGGGCAGATAGGGGGGAACCCCCCGAGGAGCCGAGGTTGAAAGTCCTGGATGTTAATCTGGTTGGGAATATTTACTGTATGTGCTTGTTTTGTTTCTCATCTTCTTAGTTTTCGGGCCTGGTCTGTTCTGTTTTGTACTTTGCTATTTGTTGTCTTTAGGGGACTTAATCAGGTTGTATGATAGCTGTAGATCGCTTTGGAGCAGACCCGTTTTATTTCTATGTAATTTCCAATTCTTTGTCGTTCCGAAGGAAGGATTGGGAGATTCGGGGTGATAAACGATGCCTATTCTCATACGAAATATCACAGCATAACTCGAATGGAAGTCAACTAGTCAACTAACAACCCCCTTTACAGCTGTGAAACTCGCACTTCACTACATGCAACTCAATACGCCAGACACGACGACGGGTCTCCGTGGCTCCATTATCTGCACAGCGTCTAACGCAGGCCTATACCCGTTTCCGCCGGCGCCGCTCTACGCGGCGTCGAAACACGCCATAGTTGGCCTTGTGCGCTCGCTTGGTCCCGTTTATGGACAGACACATATCGGGATCCGAATCAACGCGCTGGCGCCGGCCGTACTTGGTGAGTTTTCGCCATCTCCTACCCATCATCATCCGCGGTACGTGCTAACACGGCGAACTAAACAGAGACAAACCTCGCTGGTAAAAATGCCCTTTTCACCAATATGATCGTGACGCCGCCCAGCACACTTATTGCAGGCTTAGAGAAGCTGTTGATGGACACTTCGCTGAACGGGCAGGTTGCGGAGATTCATGGCGAAAACGTCACCTTGCGTCCACCACACGAGATCGTTGACGCTGACTCACGGCATAACTTGGAGGAGTTTTCCAGGTTTGGATATGGGCAGTGAGATCAGGGATGAAATATGTTGAACCGAGGTTATTATCTATATCTGATGAAGTCTTGTAGTATTGTCGGCATTATTCAATACGAGGTCTCGGAAGAGTATTGCATCATGGCTATAAGATTGAATGAGGGCTATTCTTCCGGAATAACGATATGAAATCAAGAAGCGCACGTAATTTGTTATTAACAGGAGTGTAGTACAGGGCGTACGAGGATATAGAACATATATGACAGAAGTGAGTAGACAATTATCTATTCGAAAGCCTCATTTAAGAGGAATTGTCGAAACAAACGATACGGTAACAGTAGTAAATATCGGTTGCAATATCTCATCCCGGAAATTCGATGTGAATTCAGTTGAATCAAATGTTTATTCTTAGGCGCACGATCTTCAATCGACCGCATAGGATGCAAGGAAGATTATTTTTTTCTTTTGCGGTAACATTAGTGATGAGATGAGTCCTGGTGTCAATCCCAGCATATTGAGCAACAAATCTATGGCGTATTGCCGAATGCTGTGGAGGTTGGCATTATTGCTTGGTTCTTCATACTTGAGGGGCATCACTTGTGACGCGGAAGGACCTCGATCATATGTTCACTTCTGACATGTTCGCTGGATAACGATAGGCAGAGAGGAGGGTGATAGGGCTGTAGTAAGCTATCGTGTATTTGCTTTGGGATTTAATGATGAGGGTTGTTCTAATCCTGCAGTAGCATCGAATGGTTAAACAAGGAAAAGAGATGGCGGAAAGGTGTTACCTCGATGACCACCTAGTCGGTAGCGGACCCTCATCCGATCGATTCTCATGACGATTCGCGAAACTGAAAGCGACGGTATTCATCATACTCCTTTATTCGACGTGTCACAAAAAAAAACCTTGTAGCTCGCGATACAACCGTTGTGAAACAAGCCCTTAGCTTGCCTTGTAGGTTGTTGTGATGTGACCGCGTGAGGATGCTATTATAGTAGTTTATGGCTCTACATCTCTAACAATCGGCATTGTTCACGAAGATTGTATGATTCGGGCAAAAAAGACGCAAAGAACATTCTACTAATTGATCTTATCCGATTAGAATCTAGGACAGATAGTCAATTATGAAACTAGAAGCCGTTTGCACCTCTTCTACAAAACGAGTAGTCGTTAAGTATGCGGTACGTCCAGCCGTAGCTGAAGGGCTATCACTTCAACCTAAAACATGTTCGTACCATGAGTCGCTGTATTCCGAATATTCGTGACTGCTGTGATCACCACAAGATTATGTCCTTATTTTCGTCTTAGCCCCGACAAGGTAGCAGAGAAGGGAAGGCTTCGCACTCGACAAACCTGTAAGCTCTGAGGTAGTCGCCATGATGCCTTCACATTAGCACCTATCCTTATGCTCGTCGCGCGAGCTGTGTAAGACGTTCCTATTATATATAAAACAAGTTGGGTATGGGATTCGGGAACTGCTATCTGATGGTGCGATGGGCAATCTACTCTGTGCCAAGATACTCCAGTTCATGGTTACGAAGTGCGTAACCAGGTATAACTAACGCTTGGACTAACTATATGTAAGAGAACCTTGATTCTGATAGGGCTATCACCCATAGTTGAGCTACCGGGGTCGTATTTTCTAGGTTACCGACAAAGTTTCCCAACTCAAGTTGCTCGGCCGGTTGGCGTAATGGCAACGCGTCAGTTTCCGGTTAATACACCAGATCTACTGAAGACTGTGGGTTCGAGTCCCATACTGGTCGATTTGTTTTTGGAGAGAGATGCTTCAGAATTCGATAAACACACAAGTTTCATTTTTTGACATACCTAGTTACTTAATACAGTACACTAGACACGGTCCAATACACCTAATTAGGTCTAAGGCAAGGGTTATACCGATAAGCTTTTTAATCCCGTCTAACTGTATTTAGGGGATAATACTCAACGGAAGCACAGGTCAAAGCGTAGCATGAAGTTAAGCTTAACTAACATACCTGCGTCGATATTCCTATCAGAGATACTCACATCAAGAGATGTACAGTGAGTGGGTAGAGAAAGGTATGATCATTCTTGACTACTCTACGGCATTTTCTGGGCATTGACCTTTTTGAGATTGGTAAAGGGAGACGATTTTGACACGTTTACCATCCGTAAAAGCTGATTGACAGACAGCTATCTACTTTAGTGCGATGTCGCACAGTAGTAAGTACACTAAGCCGAGATAAGAGAGCTTGGCAGTGGCATGTGCTTTTTCCCGCAACCCCCTTGCATACGGCCGGCACAGACCTCACCGTCATTTTGCGTCAGCTGCGACGAAAAATTTTGCGACGGAGCCTACTAACTCCCGCCCAACGTTTCGTTCTGACTGCTTCGAAGTTCAGTATATGAAAGGGAGCTGTCTATCTAAGAACTATATGTATGCAATCCCTTTTCACTCCTTAGTCAATTGGGTCGGTTACACTTACTCTTCGTAATAATCACCACATTTTGACACAAAAGAGTTCACTTACCTCAGGGTTGCTATCTGCCCAAAGTAGCTAGTATTTGAGGCTCAAACATCCATGACTCGTCTATGTAGGACCCTGCGATCTGACAGGTGCTTGGAACCGCGCCAGGAAAATACCTCCTTCCCCTTTTGCTTCCAAATTGGTCGGCTTAGGTACCCGCATCAACATGATTTCCCAATCTCCTGGTAATGGGGGTACCTTTCCTTGCAATGGCCGTCAGTGTGGTACATAGCTATAGTCCTTGCTCCCACGCTGCGTACGTGCCGGCAGGGGTTGGCGCCGCGAGACGTGCGGTGTGCGCTTATGTACTGCACGTCAAGCCGAACATTGCTGGCCAGGGTTGCCGGAACCCTTGCTCTATTTCCCGAAATAGGCCATACATGGAAAGCCGTCAATCTGTGTGATATGACTCGTCTCATAGTTGACTCTCACTGGCATTCACGCTTGTACTGGGGGCTTGCAGCAAAGTTGCCGTGGGCTCGAAGAGAGTGCATGCTCATTTTGACGAGGATCAGTCCTCCTTTTATGTTGTCTCGCTCCCACATTCTGTATCATGCTATCGTCAGACAAGCTCCACTCGTGTATAGTCGCCTATGAGCTCGTTCCGATATCAACTGGGCTACTGTTTGCTATCCACGAGACCGGACCCAAGTGGAGGACCGAGTTTAGTCGGTGGGGGTTCATACTGGTTTCCTATCTCTATTCGCGTCGCATCCTTTGCCCCGGTTGAGTGTCGCTCAATAACGCCTCAATAGTAGTGAGGGGTTCTCAGGACAGTTATACCTTCGATTACCTATGAATCGCATGTAGTGCTCCCAATAATCGATGCTTTTGATGTTGAGATCGAGCATTTGTTGTGTGTTTTATTGCTCAAGTCAGCAGTAAAACGTTGGCAAACAAAATTTGCCAAGAATAACAAGGGCTGGCCTTATAAGCGCCGCACCCGAAAACGCCCGATACCCCTGTTAATCAGCAATGAAATCCGTCAGCCTTGTCTCCTTTGGGTAGCCTCCAATAAAGCAAAAAAAAAAGTTTGTATCGCAAATGCTGTGCTACCCCCCATTATGTTGATTGTATCGACGCCGTGTGGGTTTGATTCAAGCCCACAGTTCAGCTTTGTTTTCTCAGACACAGTGCCGATTTGGTGGTCCATGCCCAGCTCCGGAACAACTATTCAGTCGTTCTCCTAGAGCTCCGTCAAACTTTTCTTCCTCTCTGCCGCACCGTAAAGAAATTTCTCTTCCTCTTCTTCGAGCTCTTATCTCTTCTTCCACCATTTCACTCGCCTGTCCTTGTTTTGCCCGACACTCCCCTCTCCATCACCAACAACACATCCACATCCATCGCAATGGCCTCCGCTCGCATTGTTGCTTCCCGCGCCTTTGCCTCTATGGGCACCAAGGTCGCTCGCCCTGCTGTTCGTGCTTCTTTCGCCAACGCTGCGGCTAAGCGCACCATTGCCAGTACGTTTTCCCGCACAAAAACACCAATTAGGTCCTGTTGGGTGTCAGATTGGTTCAATTTGTGAGATCTGACGTTTTCTCATAGGCAATGCCACTCCTTTCCAGGCCGCCAAGCGCCAACAGGCCTCTAAGATCCTGAGCACCACTACTCGCCAGGCTTTCCAGCGCCGTGCGTACTCTTCTGAGATCGCTCAGGCCATGGTTGAGGTCTCCAAGAACTTGGGTATGGGTTCCGCCGCCATTGGTCTGACTGGTGCCGGTATTGGTATCGGTCTCGTTTTCGCTGCCCTCCTGAACGGTGTTGCCCGCAACCCTGCTCTCCGTGGCCAGCTCTTCTCATACGCTATTCTGGGTTTCGCCTTCGTCGAGGCCATTGGTCTTTTCGATCTCATGGTTGCCCTCATGGCCAAATTCGTATGTATACTCCGCTGTGTCTTAAGGATAACCTCTAGCACTCTTGCTAACTGTCTCATTAGACATAAACACTTTAATATCGACATTTACGGAGGCCCGGCTTCACACCACATCCTTGCTTATGTGAAATAAGCAATATGATGAACCCAGCCACTGTACCATAAATACGGCTTCGCGTCTTTAATATGTCCGATGGAAAACTACCATAGAATCATAGACGGTTATAGACTTGGGGATGGGCATAGACCGGGTATGAGACCGTCAACGACAGGGGCTTCGGGAGCATCGCCTTCAGGCATATGTGTAAAGATGGAAGAGGGAAAATCACTGTAGCGGTGTCGGTCCACCTGCCGCAGCGAAAAACTTGTAAAATACCACACACAAATCATCAACATCACCATCACCTTCCTGGAAGCACAACTCTCTTTTTCCTTTGTTCTGATCGAGAACAACACTGGCATAGGTCGGCGTTCAGCATGAAGTGTGTTTATGATATTTTGTGTGTATTCCAATGAAAACAATCTCCACTCACCCAGAAATCCATCAGGGCTTCATTGTTAGCTGTGGGCGAGCTACCGTGTGCCTTGGTTTTGCTTCGAACTGTCTGATCCATAGCCCGGCCTAGCGCCGCAGTGAGGTGAGCGGTTTTTTGGATTGACGAAATGTGATCCAATGCATCAGCGGATTGAACTGGCCTTCTCGGGAGAGTTCGGCCTTGCGCAAGCCGACGACGACCTAGCGAATAGTCAACCCGCTTCTGGTCCACATAAAGCTTGATAGCGCCAAACTCTCCAACCCAGTGCCTTGATGTGTCTGCCACACTCTCCAATTACAAGAGTCAATTGCTTCAATGTGGACCTAGTGCTGAAGACTGGTGATACAGCATCTAGAGATGATGATAAGACCATAGCGCGACGTGGACCCTTTTCAACCGGGGATCCTGGGACAGAGACGGGTCTGGGAGCGATCAAATATTTGAGCTGTCTAGCTACTTCAGGTAGTAATTTGCATATAACAACGATGCCGACTCTGCCCGCCAAGTTCTTGCTGAGTACCTCAGGTTGAAGGATGAGAGGACAACCTGGAGGGTCCGTGGGGGTGGTGGAGCTTGTTGTTGAGTGAACGTTATATCGAGGCGGTAGGTTCTGCTACATATCTAGCACTTGGAATCGCCACGGTATGAATATCCACCAGCATATCTCGTGCCGTGCTTTCAATTCAACAATTGCTGGCTGTTTCCTAGCAATATTGGATGAGCCAACCAAAACCCTGTCCAGTTGTGAGATAAAATCGCGTCACTTTGGACTCGACTCCACGAGCCAATGGGCATTGGATACCCTGATTCCGAATCCGTTCGAAGTATCGATTTGCGCCTCCGTCTGCTCATTGACAGCCGTAAATTCCCGCCGGAAGGTTGGTTAGAGCAGTACTCAGCTCGGAACTACCTCAAGGGTTGGCGACGATCAGAGCAACAAAAAAAAAAGAATAATGTCAGACAAGTGATCAAAGCCGCACATAGTATGCCATCAAGAACTTAAGAAGCAGCTGTGCTAGGAGCGACTTCGAGCGAGATGGCGACTGCCTTTCATTCCTGCCTTCGCCAAGATGACCGAGTTCTCGCCGTACCAAGGACTAGTTTGACCTAGATCGTTGGCAAAGTTGCTTCGCTTTAGGGCCAAGGTGTCCAGGCTTCCATTGTTCCAGCTGCTAAATGTTGGAGCTTATCAAGATAACCGGTTTCACCAAGAAACGATATTGACGAGGATCCGACCAAGTCCTCTTTGCTGAAATGTCAGGTTCTGCGCGCTATTCTGATGCTCATCAAATAGACTGTCACAGTTCCGCTGGCAGTGTTGGCTTAGGATTTCGCGGAATGGGCCACGGAACGCAAGCTACCAACAGTGTTTACCCTGTTGATATTACGGTAGCTGGCGCCATGATTGGGGGTGGCTCAGATTGAATTGGCAAATCTCGTCGTCTTCAAAGTTGACTTGACGACGACTATAATCATTCAACCGTCTGAACGCTAGACATCACTTGACATCTGCTATTCTATGAGTTCGACTTTTGCCTAACATAACGAAAGGTGCAAGCGTGAAGGGAATTGGCTTGAATCACGGAATCGTTGGCGGAAATATACTGATTCTAGAATGGGCTGATTGAACACGCGAGGATTGCGCGCGTCGACTGATGGCGGCATCGTACGACAAATTGGCGGAGCCGGTACAAGAGCAAGCAAGGTAAGAAGACAGCATGATTCAGATTCACTTGGAGAAATAGGATCTGGACAGAGCCTGAACGGCCATTCAATTGAGCGAGTCATGCGTTGAGAATTGGGCGAGGTTAAAGCTATTGAGAGACAGGAGGAAATAGAAATCA